GTCTGGTGGCAGATCTTCACTACGGGGGGGGGGAGGGGGGTTGATTTAAGATATGCAAATTCAGCTACGCAAATAGCGTAGCTGAATTCGACCTATCGGAGCCGACTTACCCCGCTGTGAGGACGGCGGCAAAATCGATCTCCGCGGCTCCCCGTCGACGGCGCTTACTCCCACCTCCGCTGGTGGAGTAAGAGCGTCGATTCGGGGATCGATTGTCGCGTCCCGACGGGACGCAATAATTCGATCCCCGAGAGATCGATTTCTACCCGCCGATTCAGGTGGGTAGTGTAGACCTTGCCTAAGAGGCTGATAGCATTTATAGCAGTATAACTCTATTAGTTGCAAGGGAGTCCCTTCTGATTTCAACTGGTGTGAGATCAGAATCAGGCCTTTTGCCTGGAAGGAACTAGGTATGGCTACATTCTCTCTGAGCTAGTGGTGAGGTTTAGGGTGACCAGATAACAAGTGTGAAAAAGTGGGACACTTTTGTTTTTTTTCGGGGCTGGGGAGGCAGCGGGAGGTAATATAGTTGCGTATATAAGACAAAGCCCCTAATATTGGGACGGTCCCAATAAAATTGGGATGTTTGGTCACCCTAGTGAGGTGGCAGCTTCTTCCTCTTCTCATCATTATTAATTATGGCCCAGATACTGGAGGTACTTAAGCATATGCCTAATTTTACGCACTTGTGTAGCCCCGTTGACTTCAGGGCCTATCATTCTTGTCACAGCGGAAGAACGACATAGCTCTCCATTTTTTAGAAAAGACCAGAAGCCTGAAAAAAGTGGAACTAATACATTAAAAGACCAAAACCAAGAGAGAGTTTAACTTTCCTCATAAGAGCAGTGACTAGAAATCAGACAGGAAGCCACATACAATTCTATCCAACTGGTAGAGCCCCCGGTAAGTCACCTTGAGACACCAGATGTTTGAGTAGCTACATATTCAGTTAATCAAGTGAAAGGATAAGTGCTAAGCCCTGGTCAGCTTTGCCAGTTGGCCACAAATTCCTGCAAACGGATAAGAAAACACGCAGTAGTTCAGTTATATTGTCTGTTCAGACAGCCATCATCCCCAGTACCAGAAAGATGTGGATAAACTGGTTGATAATTCTCACACACAAAATATATTTGCACTATATCTACACACACACGGGACATGTCATTCTGTCATGATGCATGCACTAATAAGTGATGTTTACACGGTCTGGGTAGCTCTGCTTGAGCTAGCGCACAATTAGCTAGCAGTGTGGACGTTGTGCCACGGTCTAGCCGCCTGGGTCCAAGGCTGCCCAACCCCCTGGGTCCGTACTAAGGCAGCTAGCCCACACTGCTGCTTGTGTCACAAGGCCCACAGTGCTATTTTTAGCGCACTAGCTCAAGCCGAGCTAGCGCATATCTGTCTACCCGGGCTGGGAGACGTGCTCCCAGCTGCAGTGTAAACCTACCCGTTCCGACCTTAAAGTCTATGAGTCTATTGAGGCCACGATTTTGAAAATCTGGTGCTGCAAACGTATAGGGAGCCAGTTCTGCCAAGTTCTGAGCACTCTCAATTACAATGGTCAGGCTTAGAAACGTCATCTCGTCTCCTTTCTTTTGTCTCTGTGCAAAGGCAAAAGAGAGAACGTACCTTCAGAATGTTTCATTCTAGACAGACAGGAGAGCAGGAGTTTCTTGTGACCCCACAAATGGGCAGGGACAGCTGGAGAACAGAAGCAGCTCTGCCTCCAGTCACCTTCCCCATTTGCTGGGGAGAGTAGTTGGCTGGGTGCATGAGGGTAAAAAGTTACTGCACAAATAACAGGTGAAGGAACCAGTGTTTCCAACTCTCGTTATTCTATCATGAGTCTCAAGATAGTTGGTGTTTCACTTGAAGCCCCAGCTCCTGGAGTCAGGTGATTACAGGAGAATCTCAGCTTGCATTAGAACAGTAAGTTTGTAGAACTCATGCTTGCAGAGAAAAGCTTGACAAGGCCCCTTGCATACAAGGCTCAGAAACCAGAGAGTAAATAAAAAAGATCCCAGCTTTTAGTGTTCTTTTTAAATCTTGTGCTGTTTATGCCACACTTGTGATTTTGGGGGCAGAAGGGGGGGCCTGACTGAAAGGGTTGAAAATGCTAAGCTTGAATATGCTTACTAGGTGCTTTCCCACTCTCTCTCCCCCCACCCCTGAGAGAAAAATGTAACTGCCTCACATCACAGTGTATAATACCTGTGGCCTGGAAATGCCTTTTTAGTTGTTTTTCTGTGTCGAACCAATGTTTTACTTGACTTGCACTAATTGCTGTAGAGCAGTATATGGTTAGATTTCTTTGGTTTGATTTATTTTTTTGGTTGCAATTCCTATTGGCTAACGAGCTGGCAGTCCTATAAACATACCTGTTGCACATTTTACACCCCTGGACAAAATAAAATATAACCCGAAACAGCCAGTGTCCTAGATATTCTGAATGTAGCCACTTTGCATCCCAATGCCCCAGCCGGCACCATGGAAAATTCTGCTTCCTTTTGCAGAGCATCTAAAAACCAGCAACACTTAGGGCTTGAGCTTGCAAGTCCTTGCTCGGGGTGCAGCCTCCAGTGACGGTGCAATGGCTGCTCCATGTGGGCTCCAGTAGAGTTAAGTGCCTCTAGGCTGCGGGTCTGTCTACACTTAAAATGCTGTGCCAATGCAGCTGCGCTGGTTTAGCGCATCAGTGAAGACGCTATCTATGCTGACAGGAGGGCTTCACACATTGGCGTAGGTAATCCACCTCCCTGAGAGGCGGTAGCTATGAGAAGTCCTCCCGTTGACATAGCACTGTCTACACTGGGAATTAGGTCAGTATAACTGCACCGCTCAGTGCTGTGGATTTTCCACACCCTTGCGTGACATAGTTACACTGACATAAGTTGCTAGTGTAGACCAAGCCTGAGTGATCATAAATCCCAAGCTCCCAGCAGACCCAGGCCCCTATTCAGGAAACCATCCTTACTCTGCAAAGTACACTCGAGTACATTCATGAATTGAGGTCCCACTGCCATACTCACGTGTGCAGGATACAAAAGGATGGAGTGGAGGCAAGAATCAGTGTTTCCGAGGGAAACTAGTCCTAAGCATCATCCTCCTGTTCATCCGACACTCAGATCCAGATTTTTGGGACTTAGGTATTGCACTGCTGAATGGAGCAACACCTAAATAGCCTTGCTCCCTCTTGAGCCTGACTGCTCTTGCTCACAGGCGCCAACTTTCCTTGGGGCCGGAGGGTGCTCGCACTCCCCCGGCCCCGCCCCAGGCCCCACCCCGACTCTGCCCCCTCCCTGCCCCTATTGGACCCCTCCCCAAATCCCCGACCCGGCCCCTCCTCTTCCCCGAGCGCACCATGTTCCTCCTCCTCCTCCTCCCTCCCACCACTTGCCGTGCGAAACAGCTGTTTGGCGGCGCAAGCGCTGGGAGGGAGGGGGGAGAAGCAGGACTTGGCGACGCGCTCAGGGGAGGAGGCGGAGCGGAGGCAGAGGTGAGCTGGGGCGGGGGGGTGGGGCAGGGAGCTGCTGGTGGGTGCAGAGCACCCACCAATTTTTCCCCGTGGGTGCTCCAGCCCCGGAGCACCCACGGAGTCGGCGCCTATGCTCTTGCTAATAGGCAGGCATAAGTTGGCAGCTGCACCGCGCTTTTATTTTGCTCTTCTGCTCCCAACTGACCACACCTCTGCTGCACGGGATCAAGCTCTTACTGAAGTACTGGGCCTGTTCTAACTCCGGTTTAAGGTAGGTCTACGCTTGCGGCTACGTGTTGAGTACGTACACGGCACACC